GTGCCAGGAGGTGTGATGTTAGCATGAGGTGCAGCAGGAGCGATGCATTTCGGAGCCCACCTTTGCTGTGTGAAGGGCCAGAAGGCTGGAAAGGATGCCCATGGACAAGAAAGAGCTGCAAGCCTGTTCCTCCTCTCATGTGAGCTGATATTCTTCATTCTTCTCCTTGCAGAGAGCAGCTGGATGTGAAAAGGGCCAGCACCCACTTGTCTTTTCAGGAGCATGGTCCTGCAAGAGGTACCAGTCCTTGCACTGCAGCTGTACCCAAGGGGTACCATGCAAGAGGTGAGTCCCAGATGCCTGGAATTACTTCTGCTATGTGTGGCTGCCTCCTTTACACAGTGTGGAAGGTAGTCCCACAGGAACACATCCGACTCCAGCTCTGGGATGCAGAATAACGGGGGGCCCTACAGGCATCCAACAGCCTCCCCATCGCTCTGCCCAATCTACAGTTTTCCTCGCGCTCAGCCATTGCTGGGCTTTCCATAGGAAAAGGTTAACTAAATCATTTCATGTAAAACCTTCTGCAGCTTGGAGTTATTTACTTTGTTTGCAAAGTCCTTCTGTCGCTGCTGGATCTGTGCCACCAGTTTGTGTCAGGCTTAGGCAGAGCTCAGAGAGGTTTCCTTAAACTCGCTGGTGTGGCTGCTGGGAAAACTCCGAGATCAGATTTGGGTAAGTTCTCTTGAAAGTACTCACTGATGGGCTAGCTATTGAAGACAGGCCAAGGTGAAGCATTTCAAGGAAAAAAAAAAAAAAAAGACATTCAATGGAGGGAAAAAGCATTAATGCAGGAAATCCAGAGAGAAGAGGGAGTTTGTCCTAACTTGTCCTGGCTAGGCTGGCACAGCAGCAATGGTCTTCCCAGAGACCACTGTGTTCACTGCAATAGCCAGAGAGAGCAAATAACAGAAAACCTTGCCTGCCAGCAGCAGGAGTGGTATTGCTGCGGCTGGAAGGAAACAGGGTGGGAAGGGAAGGTTAATGTTTCCAGCAGCCTCCCCTGCCAAACGTGTCTTATAGCCATTGTGGGGAAGGGGCAGGCGAGGAAACCCCTCTACCGCTACCCAGGTGGAGGTTTTTATTTTGTAATATTCACTCTGCCACGAACACCAAAAGATGATCCCTTGGGCACTGCTGAAACCATGTCCTCACTGCTAGGCTAAACCTAGAAGCCCGTCACGTCGTACCTCCCGGGACACCCATCAACCCATCAGTTGAAAGGCTGGGAGAGTTGGGGTGTTCAGCCTGGAGAAGAGAAGGCTCTGGGGACACCTCATTGCAGCCTTCCTGTGCC